ACGCCACTACATCACATAGACATTATTAATTCAGCCAATTCAAAGAGCCCATATCTATAGTGATTGCAACTTTTAAAAAATCATAACTCTAATTATTTGTCCGATTTAATTCAAACTTTCATCGGTATGCTTTTCTGATTTTTCTGATTTATTCTAGTTTGCTATCAAGGTTGGATTTCCCTTTAACTGAAACACTTTTACACAGGTTAATGCCCTTCTGGCTCTCAAAAGAGAATACATGTATGCTGGGAGCTAGAAGGGTGATAAGTCGTATACAACGTACTTTTACCACAGAGTTAAAGCCCTCCTAGCTCTCATTACCTATAGTGAGATTGTGGTGTGATACTTGAGTGTCAAAAGGAGATAAGTAACACTCTGTAGCGTCCTTTCTACTTCTCATTAGGTTAGGAAGTTGAAATCCACAAACCAAGCAACAAAGCTTTAAATGAGAAAAGAGCGAGTGCTGGCACGTGCCAGATGGCTATTGAGTAGCTTGCTTTTAAAGCAGACATAATCAATTGATTTTAAAAGTCAGTTGTTCTGATGGCAATAATGGGGATTACAAATGATCAATACTGGAGTTCTGTGCTTGTGTGATGTTGTAGTCTGATGGGGCATGACAATGCAACTTAATTTCTTTGTCTCCCCCCCCCCCCCCACAAAAAATCCCCCACAACAGGCTGACAGCTCTCAGTCATTCATTGAATGAAGAGTTTAGAGAAACAAGCACATTACAATCATATTTTTTTGAAATAATTTACTTGCCCAGAATATCATGGAATCATTTATGTTCCTTGTTACATAAGAATTGTATGGGACCTACTGTTGTAGTCCTATCGTATGGACTAGGTATAAGATCCATGCCTAATATCAAGAGTACAGGAATGTTAGCATCAGGTCCTGTCGTGTGAACTGGGTTCATATAGATGATTAAATAATACCTCAACAATTTTGTTGATTGAAAACAGAAACTCCCATCTCCAAAATAAAACCTTTTTATTTTCTGCTTGAGCTTAAATTTTGACAAATCTTCATATAATATATCAAATCAAAATATTATTCAAATTATGCTTTTGTGGACATTAATTTATACATTTAAAGATCAAAGACAAAGTTTTGCGGATCAAGGCTTGTTTGAAATGAGCAGCATCATTGGCTTTAAATGAAGTATTCAAGATTGCAATGACATTTTTCTTTCACTGTTAACATATCTATTTAGTTTACATCATTTGAAGCCATTATTCTGTTTTTAATGACCATCAAAACGTGGATCAGTATCTTATTATCTTTGATAGATTATACATTGTTTTAATGATGATGTTTCGATGAGTCTAGTCAAATCACTTATTTTCATACAATTCATTATACATTCTCAAATAACAAGCAATCAAGATCATAAGTAATTGACAATTACAAGTTAACGTCATTGCCTTCTCTTCATTTTAATGTTATATCACAATGATTCATTCAAGCTCATATCGCCAAATTTGTAATAAGCATGAAAATTGTTGCAAGTAGCTGTATGTATCATGATATGCACCGTGACCAAATTCCATCTCAGCTTCTGTAGGATGTTTATTGCTTGTCGTGAGCAAGAAAGTACCCTCCCGTCTGTCAGTAGTTAATATCTGAAGATTTCATACCATAACATACCAATACATGGAACAAACCACTCTCATAACCACTGTCATAAACACTTTCATAAACACTTTCATGAACACCAAGGGAAGATAATAAGTGGGGGGGATGGAACAGGGCAAATCAATAAACATGCTCTCCAATCGCAGAATAACGAAATAAAATAACAGAGCGCATGCAGGTTATGAACGCGAGGCGAGAAATTGGCCACTCTATAGGCGTGTCTTCACTATCTCGAGATTGCCAAATATCCAGCTATTTGAACTATCCTGATCGCAAACTATCCAGCTAATTTGCGTCTTCATTAGACCGAAGTACTTAGCAAATTAGCTGGATAGTTGGTCGGGATAATATCCCAAGATATCTCGGTCTAGTTTGCAAAATACCCCACTATTTCCGAACTAGCGGGATAGTTTGGGATAGTTTGCGACCGTCTTCATTGGAGCGAAGTACGGAGTCAAATATTCCGATCCCATCATGCACAACGATTTCCGGTTTTCTGTGTTTACTAGTTGTACGAGCGCGATGAGCGGTATAGATCGCATGTGCGCGCGCTAGTACAACTAGTAAACACGGAAAAATGGAAATCGTTGTGCATGATGGGATCGGGATATTTGACTCTGTACTTCGGTCTAATGAAGACGGTCGCAAACTATCCCGCTAGTTCGGAAATAGTGGGATATTTTGCAAACTAGACCAAGATATCTTGGGATATTATCCCGACCAACTATCCAGCTAATTTCCTACTTCGGTCTAATGAAGACGCAAATTAGCTGGATAGTTTTGATCGGGATAGTTCAAATAGCTGGATATTTGGCAATCTCGAGATAGTGAAGACATGCCTTTTCTGCGCACTGAGAGCGGGATCCAGTTTTATGCCGTAATCCTCTTTTCGTCAAAGCTTCGCGTGCCGATATTGATTTAGGAGCCCGAGAGGGTAACAATGATGGGTGCACAGCTGTCGTTCTCGTGATGTGCTTCCTATATAGCTCCCCTGCAAGATCACAATTATTCCAGTAGGGTAAATTTGTTGTAGCTGTCTCTTTTATAGTCTCTTTTCTGTATGCTAATGGAAATATTACCATAATTTATACTCTCTACATGTACATATAGCTACAGAAAATGGTACAGTATTTTTTCAAATAGACAATAGGACCCTAATACAACTGTAAATCCAAGAACTTTTCCATTCATTGATCTGTGAATTTAAATCGTATTTACGATTTTCTGTTGAATTAATGTAAAAAAAGTAATTTGTTTTCTCCATTCTAGCTGAGTATTACATTAGAAAGTACTACCGGTACATGTACACAGTTGCAGTAGTAGGTGTTGCCTATCCCTCTATCTTTCCTATCTTGTATCTTCCTTTCTTACCATCTCCAATCTCTCATCCTCCCTCTTGTGCTATCTCCCAGGTCAGCGGGTAATCAAATCCTGTATATTTACTCAGGTTATTAGCAAAGAGTACGAGCCCCTAGCCCTAAAACCTTTAAAGATACAGTGGAATTCTGGTTACGTGAAAATGAAATATGTGAGCTTTCCTAATCTTTTCGTTCCTAAATATAAAAGAATTTCATTGTAGAAATGTCACATGATGAAGATTTCCCTTAAATGCCCTCATACATGTATTTCAAATATAACATATAAACTAACACAAAAACTTAAATCTTTGGACCAAATTCAGATGTCATATGTATGTGTAGTCCCATAACCCCATATCTGTGTGCAGTGCTTTTGACTGTATCCTATTTTCAGCAAGACTACCGTAGGTCATGCGTTGAATCATTTTGATGATTCTCAAAGCTCATAATACACACTTAAAGTAATGTGCTACATTATCAACCTCATCCAGTTCTTTCTATAGGCCTATCATGATGTCTTTTACATTGCAATCACATGACCAGATTTCAATTTAATCTTTAAGACCTTGCCTTGCCTGAAAGCTACTAATCTCTACCTCATATCAGTATCCTTTGGACTCTTCCCCGTACCCTCTTCCTAGCTCTATACCTCCCTGGATCACATGGTCGGGCCTGGCCGGGTCAAAAGTTTAAGAGCAAAGTCGACGAATATCGGGAGAGGTGTTTTGAACGTGATAAATGCACTGTTAAATGCATACATAGTCCTGTACGTTTATCAGGCTTGTGTAGGCCTATGCCCGCCATGAAGCAAATCTTTTGCAAAATAGCTCAGGAAACTGTATATGCCCACAGAAAGTGATTGCTTATTCTCTCAGGTCCTTAGGGGAATTATATTCTCTGTAGCATATTTATTAATTCATTATCAATATTGCCTGGTCTAGTTTGCAAACTTGTGTATGTTAATTGTGGAATATCTTTTATATCTAGCTTCACACAGTATCAGTATCAGTTGGAATATATAGGAGTCTTATATTTTTTGTCATGTAAGAAAAACCAAGTAGGAGGGGGGGGGGGACAGTTGAAGGCATTCAAATATTTCGTAAGAAATCTGCATAAATTTGCATATCAGTCAAGAAAGATTACGATTTTGATTTAACGATCCGACACTGAGCATTCTAGATGCAGATACTACTTGGACAGAATTAAAACAAAAATTGGCAAAAATATCTTTCTGCTGTTTCGATGGTGCAAGCTGTCTTGTGTCGTTACTGATTCTGTTGATTAATTCCTGTAGGCTTAGTACAGGAGCCACCCAGTTCCAAGAGAAATATGAATTTGACTTTTTACACTTGGATTTGTATGAGTTTATATTAATTGGCATACATGTACATGTAACTTAGTGAGCAAGATTGCACCTTGTTTCTGGAAAGTTTTGATATGTAGAAATGTCTCTATACCTGTACCCCAAACATCTGGTGTGTTTATTCATTAGCTATCACCTCCGATCTATCTTAATCTCTTATCAACAGTACACATCTGAACAAAGAATATAATAGAATGTACCGACGACAGAATTTGTCTGTAATGCTTTGTGCTGGCTGGAACAAGGCAGGAAAGGGTGCGCTAAAGCCGACATGGTTTTACTCTCTGTTATAATAATAAAAAGTTTAGTGTTGAAATAACGAAGCATATGGTGTTGCAATTTGCAGAAAGGGTGAACAGTTGTCGAACAATCTCATTTCATCATTCCAAATAGGTATTGATTAGTCTTAATGATCTGCACGCGCCTAACTCCATTTTGTTATTGATTTATGTATTGATCTAAACTGCTCTATTGATGAGGCGATATTGATTAGACCGTCGGCTGTGGTATCATCCAAGAGAAGGGATCGAGGGGGATTATCTGGGGGAATTGAGACCCCCTTTGGGAGGTGCGTGGATGGAGAGGGGCGAGAGAGGGTATATAAAGGGGTAAGGTTCAGGCAGAGGAGTCAGTGTCTGAAGCAGCGTGGAGAGTGGAGGAGAGAGCTGTTGAGAGATTGTAGACTGCATTGCATGCGAAGGAAAAATCAGGGTCACTTGATTAGACCTCCATTGCAGGGATTGATTCAATTGGTCTCCTATTTCTATTTATACATCTTGGGCTTTTCATGCCCTCCACTCTGCAACGCTTGCCCATTCGGTGAACGGCTGGCCATAGGCGAGTGCTTGCTCTATCAACCAGGGTCACTCAGAGAGAGACAGAGAGAGAGAGAGAGAGATACGCCTCTCCTTGTGCAAAGATTCACTGCCCATTCAGGGGCCTCTTCACTCCGCCCCATCAGCCTGGCCTGACTGGGCCGTTGACTACTGGTACCCTCTCGCCCTCTCAGTAGATAAGGTTTACCTTATCACCGTAGTGGTGGCGTTGAGATTAACCAGAGAGCAACTCCTATCTCTTATCACTGTTTTATTGGTCCTTTTTGCCATCATTTGCCAGTAGCTCTGCTCTGTGTAAACTGTTACGTACTGTACTCCCTCAATTTTATAACTGAGTTTGCTTTGAGGAGAGCAGGCAGCATGGCTAGGCTCAGGAGGCGTTTTCTTGCGCCCGGAGGTCACCGCGAGGTAAGTTAATTTCTTCAGTAATTGATGCTTTTAATGACAATTATACCATGTGGAATCTTAGAAATATGCTTGTTGCCACAGTCTTTACCTCATCATAAAGTATGAACAAAATAGTTTTCGCTTATTTGCAATACAAGTACTTGCCTTTCAAAGTGACCTTCATAATTCATGAATGTATAGCACACATGAAGGAATGACGAAGCAATTGTATGGTGGTGCCACACTGCCACTTTTTTCAAATTTGAATGATTATTTCTGGTAAAAACCTTTTCACATGGTCTCTAAAATGTATTCATGATGTTCACAAGTCTGCAAATTTACTCACATAGTATGCTGAGTTCAAAGTGTTAGATTTCATGAATTTTAAGCCTTTTTTCATAATCATTTTCTCACTTACCGTGTACAGTCGACATACATGTTATTAGGGCTTCGTAATGGTACATGTATGACTGTAAAAACCTGCAGAGTTTGAAAGATTTTTCTTTCCCTGTTAAATTCATGAAGAAAATCAGAATTTGTGTGAGTAAATCAGATGATTATTAATAGTGAAGGGTGTGGATGTCGTGTGTGTGTTTCATAAATTAACCTCAAGAAGGTTTTTTCTGCACTGTACAGTGTGTCTCTAAAAAAAGTAAACCCAACTTCAACGGCAAATTTTCAGAAAACTATAAAATATTTACACATTATTTTTTATGGTTAGATAGTCCAATAAGTCCTCTGTCCAATGATACCACGTAGGTTATGTAACTCTCATGCATGACTGAGCATGATTCAACTTAGTGAATGGGTGTGAAATCATCACTGTGGCAAGTTAGAATTGCACTGGAAGTTCATCAATCAAATGACATAGGAAATGTCTGATTTCTTACAAGCATAGCTTAGGGATGTGTACCCTCGACATGACCGCCATTCCTTTCCATGCAAAGCTCGCAACGCCTCCTCATGTCCCTGACAGCACGCCTGATCATTCCCTGATCTTGTCGTAATCGGTTCACTTCACCTGTTATCTGTTGCCTCAGCTCCTGAATTGTGGCCGGTGGGGTTTGGAACACTTTTCCTTTAAGATACCCCCAAAGAAAGAAATCGCATGGTGTCAGATCTGGTGAACGTGCAGGCCACTCAACTGGGAAATGAAGAGCAATGATGCGATTGCCAAAGAGTGCAGTCAAACGATTCCTCACAGCAATAAGTCTGTGGGCTGGGGCCCCATCCTGAGCCCACCAGGCCCTGCGGAATGCTCCACGTCGTTGTCGGGGGAAGATCTGTTCCATCTCAGGCACAATAAAATTGTTCAGCATGTCAAGGTACGCCCTGCCATTGATGTTGCCTTCAAAAAAGTAAGGTCCCACCAATGAACCATTGCCACAAAGACCAATCCAGACACTCACTTTCTCCCTGCTCATGTTCTTATTAAAAGCATATCCCGGTGGATGATGGAGTTCAGCATACTCGTGCTCATTGTGGGTGTTTACCATTCCATCCATGGAAAACGTTGCTTCATCCCCGATGGTAAAAAACTGGAGGAACTGTCGATCTCGGTTGCACCGGTTCACAAACCATTGTGAAAATTGAAGTCGTCTGGGAAAATCAGCTGGTAGAAGTTGGTGCTGAACATGAACATGATATGGATGGAGATGCAAATCCAGTCTTGCTATTCTGTTAAAAGTTGCGCGTGGTATTCCAGTATCATTTCTCCTGGTGCTTATGCGTGGGTTGGCTTGGATGGCCTCTCTTACCACTTGGATGTTTTCAGCAGACCTCCCAGTTCGTCTGTGGCCAGAGTGTCCTTTATTCCTGTTCAAACTGGTTCCGTGATCAGCATACTTTCTCACATTGTACCAGATGGCTCTTTTTGTTGGAGGCTGCCTCTCGGGGAACTGCACCCGAAAAGCATCTTGAACTTCCACGAAACTTCTTGTTTCCTGGTATCGAGTTACCAGGAATACTCTCTGCTCAATTGTCAACTGTACCATGTTTGGAAAGCATGTGAAGTGTGCCTGTGTTAGGAACAACCTTTGCTGAAGTTGTTATGTAATCATAGGCCTAACATGTGACAAAGATTTAACTTCAAATAGGCCCTGAATGCATGACAATAGCAAGAAATAACTTGCCACAGTGATGATTTGACACCAGTTCACTAAGTTGAATCATGCTCAGTCATGCATGAGCGTCAGATAACCTAAGTGATATAATTGGACAGAGGACTTATTGGACTATCTAACCATGAAAAAATAATGTGTAAATATTTTATAGTTTTCTGAAAATTTGCCGTTGAAGTTGGGTTTACTTTTTTTAGAGACACACTGTACATCTGTGAAGTTATGAAATGAAGTGTATATATATCATCTATAACTTCATCTGTGAATTTATCTAGTGAAGTGTTAACATCGTTTGAAACATATTCTTAAAGCATAACTGAAGCGATCCAAAGAACTGCTTTCCAAGTCATGTTTCTAGCACTTTAGCAGAGTTCAAATGGTTTGTCTGAGATGTTATTGCCAGCTTACATCAAAGTAAGCCTATTTCAAGTATGTTTTGATGAGTAATATGGATATGATCAAACAAGGTTTGTGCAGACGCAATACTCTGTCAGAGGGCTCTAAAGAGGAGCTGTGAAGGTTGGAAATAAGTCACTTGATTTGAGTTTCTTACTGATTACAGTTTAATTTATAGTTATATATTTAGACTGTTCAAAACGTGTCCCCTAATGAGAAAGAGGAAGAACTACAAACTTATGAAATAGTAGCAATTTGATTTGATTTGCAACAAGTTTTTTTTTTTTTTTTTCATTCTTTGGAGGATTCAAATAAAGTTTAGAGGGCGAATCACCCTAGGTTCCAATTTATTATTATTCTTCTTTTTACTGAACTGATAAAATTAACATAACTGACATTGATATAAGCCTTTAGAAATGCATTACATGAAAATGAAACCATCTTTAACAGCTTATAAATGTTATTTTTAAAACAAGAGTTCAATCGCTCACAACTTTGATAGTTTTTTTTTTTCTTCTTTTCTTCTCCCCTCCTAGGAGCATCCTATGTATCCGCATCGACCCCAACGTGACCCTGGAGGATTTCCTCCAGGATATGAGGGGCATCTGCAACTTCCCAGAGAAACAGAACTTCACTGTCAAATGGCTGGATGAAGATGGTGAGTTGACCACCCCTATCTCCCATAGTAGTATGCCCCAAAGGTCCTGTTATTCTTTATATAATAAGGTCATTCCATTGTGAATATAGGTGGAGTCATTGACTATAGAGGGAATAAAGAAGGAGGGTTATACACCCTATCTCTTTGTGGGATGCCCTTTTAAATGTCTATTCTGCAAGCATAGACTCTAATTTGATACTGTAATACAATTCATAAAGCCTTGAGCAGAGCCTAGATCTGTCAGTTTCTGGATGCATGTACACAGCCTATTATAGACTCATCTTTCAGACTCTGTTACACACAATGACTGACAAGGGTTTGTGCAGGTCTGCACATTACACAGTTCCTTAATTTGGTTTGATTCTGTGACCAATCAAGATCAGTCCATTATTTGTAGTTATAGGTTCATTTGTTCGCTTTAAATATCCTTCGATCATTTGGTTTATCATTTGCTTTGGTTTGGGCAGAAGCAGTTATTCTTTTGGCCAACGTTGTCAAAATTTAGAGCTCAAAGGCTTGAATTAGAATGTAGTGGTTTGGGAAGCAAAATAGTTCTGGATTCCTATGCCTGATACAAACTATTGCGGAACTTTTGCCCCTTTTTCTTGCATTGTGGACCAATTCAAACCATTTGGACATGATACTATTGCTTGCGTGGACTAAAGGCCTAGGCATGAGTGTAAATGAATGCACTCCCACTCTAAATGCACTCTAAATACTGGGGTCTGTGTCTTATAAAACCCTAAACTATATTTTTGATAATTCATGTTGCCAGTATGTTGAAATGAGAAAATATAATGAACATGTCTATATCACACTATATTTACTTATTTAGATATTATTATTCTATAGAATTGTGTGGGAGTAATTGCATTTTCACTCGTAAATGGAAGGGATTTGACAAAGAATTTAATTAAAAGGATGCTCCTTAGTATGTTCATGCTAATTATCTAGGTTTCCTTTTGCCAGATGATGTATGGCATGCAACCCCCTTCACTCCCATCTCCCTACCTCCCATTTGTCATAAGATTTAGAATGCTAATCCCAGCTGACCTTTGAATAAATTGCAAGTTAATCAGGAGAGAGGAAGTTACTTATTCTACCCAGCATCCAATGCATCGCGCTAGCAGGGGTGATTAGTCTCTGATCAAGAAGTCTGGACCCTAACTTACTTATTCTACCCACCATCCAATGCATCGCGCTGGCAGGGCTAATTAGTCTCTGATCAAGAAGTCTGGACCCTTTTATGCAGCTTGAATGCAAACCTATTAACTTTTCTGTTTGTAATGTATTGGTATATAAAGAATGCAATTTGTTTAATTCAATTACACATATTTTCTTTCTCTCTCACTCATCAAATATATACATATTCATCATTTCTGAGAATTTGTCTTGTATCTGCTATGTCCTCCCTCTCAATATTCATTTTGACAAATTGTAAACTTTGTATCCTCTTCTTCATCATGTATCTCATTAATTTATTTATTTAAGTTTTATATTGTTTTTCTGTTCTTTTATATCACTGCTTATGTAGGCTCCCCCCCCCCCCCCCTCTCACAAAAACGGAATAGTGTCAGTTAGTATCCCTTTTTTTTTTCTTATACCACTGCTTCACTCTGATCTGTTTAGTTTTCTTATTTTTCTGCCTCTCTATTATTTTGTCTTCTCTTCTGTTACCTCTCTTCTTAATCGCTCTTCCTTGTCTTTAGTGATGACAGATAAAATGTAAAGTAAAGTCACAATTATGTAATGCACAGCAAACGATTCTACCTCGGTGAACATTTCTAAGAGATAAACGGTTTGTTGTTCAATGTGTACTGTGACAAATCATACATCTTTTATTTGGAAGAGACAGATGTTTGCTACCCCTGGGGCTATAAATATTATTTGACAAATTGTAGGGAAGGAGAACATTTGTCAGGTTCTGTTTTTGGCTGCCCATTTCCTTGAAGTGGGCAGTAGACTGTAAATTGCTCAATCATTCGCTGGGTCTGAGCGCTACAACTCATTTTGGAAAAAAGTAGCACTGCATGTATTCAATCATTCATCTTACAATTTCATAGTCTTTGAATTGGTGCATTTTTAAGTTTAGTGTACTGACGGCATTGAATCATCATACAACAATATCTCTTCCATTGAGCTATTTGAAGCTAATTTTTGGTCCCCTTAACATCACAAACATGACATAAATGATTGTCATTATGTGGCAATTGTCCAAGTATTTACTGTTTTGTCTTTACATTTCCCCTTATTTTGTATGCCCACTATTTTATCCCCAGAAAAAAAACATGTTTATTTCCCTCTTACACATTTACTAATTGTACACTTCCTTCTTCAAAGTGTAGATTTCCTTTTTATGTTCCCCTATATCCCCCACTTAGACATATACACTGATAATATACAACACTTGAATGCAGTGGTTATCAAGGCCCTGAAATGCAGATGTTAGGAGATTTAGGTATAGGATAAGGTATATCTAAAATTACTAATTATAATGCCAGTAGGAGCCAAAGAAGCTCTTTGTACTGTGACTAGCCTCCCCAACGTTGTAAATTTGTTTAGGGAATGTCACAAAAGAGTACACCTACTCCCCTTCTTAGTCAATAAACCATATCTTCTATTCAGAGCCTGCATGAAGCCAGGTTATTTACTCTGTATTCGAGATCTAATCCTTATGGCTCCATACCGACTATATTATTCTTGAGGGTTGACAAACAAAATTCATGGCATTTTTTAACAATGTTTCAAGTTTTACAAATCTGAGATGCATGGCCCTATACGTGTTCTCAGTATCTGTGATATGGTGTAATATTAAAGCCCTAAAAAAAATTGCACTTTAAAATTATCATGAAGTAAAAAATCTTTGAGTGACCGGTTTTACTATTCTCATTATTCCAATCATAAATATTTTGATAATCAGACAGGTGATCGGCTTGTAAAAGTCATGGGATTCCTGACTGACCTTAAGTTTTGTAATTATGATTCCAGCAAGAGCTAAATCCAGGATTTTGTTTAGAATCTGAGGCAAAGATACCCAATCCCTGTAAGTCTGATTTTAGAGACTATCTGACATAGTTATTATTCAATGTGATGACTGAGGCCTGCCATGTCAGCAATCATGGTAATTAAAGAGCACAACCTTGCCTTTAGAATATTAATCACCCACTAAGCTAATTAACTCCCATTTTAATCTCTAAATCTCATGCCAAATGCATATTGGAGACATTTGACTTCATTTAGTTGAGGTATTACATAACACAGATTAGAATTTCTGGGTTATTATTAGGGTTAATATTGTGAGTAATGTTTTTGGTAATCACATACTTGTCTAGTTTAACAAAAGTGTAAAGTTCAACATAAAGCCATAGCAAAACTGTATTAAAGAGTGTCCACTTCCTCTCTATTATATTTATAGTTCTGAGCCCTTTTTTTTGCTCAGTCATTGGTTGATACTTTCCAACAGCAAATTTTCTTTTCTTTAACACGCACCTAGTTCTCCGTTAGTTTATACAATTCCCCTTTTTATTACATTTATTTAGCATTGCCTTCATTTGAGTACAATGCAGGGCAAAATCCAAGTGCAAATTTGACTTTTTGAACTTTGCTTCTTACATGTACATTGTAAAGATAGAATCATGCATGCCAGAACGAGAAGAAAAAGCATGCTATTTGATTCAAGTGACAAATTCTTTCTTTTTCTTTATCTGTTTGATTCTCATCATATGTGTGTGTAATTTTGCTCTATTATTTTCCTTATCCATTTCCTGTTTTTTCACATCCTTTATTTTTACCTCTTTCCCCCTTTTGTCACCCCCCCCCCCTCTCTCTCTCTCTCTCTCTCTCTTTCTTTCTCTTTTTTCTCTCCCTCTCTCTCTCTCTCTGTCTCTCTCTCCTCTCTCTCTCTCCTCTCTCTCCTCTCTCTCTGTCTTCTCCTCTCTCTCCTCTCTCTCTGTCTTCTCTGTCCCCCCTCGCTCTCTGTATTCTCCACTTTTTGTGAATTCATCAGGTAAACTCATTCAAACCTCATCTTGATTCACCATTCATAAAAGTAAAAAAGAGTTAATTTTACCCTCTGTACCCCATGCTGATGTTATGTTTGTCAAATGTCTGCATATCTCATCATACATTCCCCCTCTCATTATAATATCATTCTCATTTTTCTCTGTATTTATTTGATATTCCAGACGACATTTTCCTTTATTTCATTACCTTGCAGAGTTGGTCATTCTTAAAGTCTTATTCATGTATGAGTCTCTTATTTATTTAAAGGGGATGCCCCTCCTTATATAAAACAAATTTTTTTTTGGATTAATTATAAGATACAGAAATATGAAATGTGCTTTATGCTTGCATCTTTTTATTGTGCTCTGATGCTCGGTGAGGCAGCTCACCTTGTTATGTGAGCAAGTACTGAAACTCATAGAGCTTGCATGTCCTATTACCACATCTAATTATTCTACCCCTTTCCTTCCTCCTTCCCACCCATCTGTCTCAATATTGCATACATTTATCATTCATCCATATCATCTTTCATCCTTCATTAATAAATATAATTATTTACATAAATGTTGTTATTTAACCTTTTACATGTATATAAATAGATCATTCATCCATCTCATCTTTCATCCATCTCATCTTTCATCCTTCATTAATAAATATGATAATTATTTACATAAATATTGTGATTTGACCTTTTGTTTATTGCAGGTGATCCATGTACCATATCTTCACAAGAAGAACTTGAAGAAGCCATCAGACTTTATGAACTCAACAAAGACTCCAATATCAATATTCATGGTAAGACATTGGATATGATATATTCTCCTACTTTTGTTTTTTCCTCTTTTTCTTTCTCCTCCTCTTTTAAACTCTTCTTCTTCCTTCTTCTTCTTCCTCTTCTTCCTCTTTTCTTCCTCTTTTCTTCTTCTTTTTCTTCTTCTCCTCGTCCTTCTCCTCGTCCTTCTCCTCGTCCTTCTCCTTGTCCTTCTCCATCTCCTACTCCATCTCCTACTCATTCATTTGCCTTATGTTCTAACTCATGTTGGATCCTTTCTTCTTCTGTTCATTCAGATTTGCTTTTGAGGGGGGGGGGGGCCTCTTTTCTCCACTTTTTTTAGTACTTATTTTTTCCTTCACCCTATCCCCCTTGCCCTCAGTAGTACTCCATTTATTCTCTCCATCTATCTCATAGTCCCATTCAAATTGTTCAGTCCCCTTGTCTCTTGGAATACATATAGACCATTACTAATTGATTCAAGAATCTCAATTAATTCTCCCTTTGCACAAGGAGTCTCTAATTTGGAAATGTGTGACTGCCTAGCATTTCTATACAGGAAACTACATTGGAAATCTACAAGCTCTCAGCTATGTCCACATGGCAGCTTTTATCTTTGGTATTGCCCCGGTGTAGTCTCATTAAACAGACCCTATTTGACTTTTTGCTCTCTACATAACTATTGTATGTCAACGGTAGTCATATCTATGTTCAAGCTTGGTCCAATTTTGTCAACATCAACAAAATTACAGTTTGAAGAAGAAAGAGTTTGGGATATAAGCTGAAGGGGGTTGAAATTTTGTTTTTCATTAAAATGCACTAGAAGTAGGCATACATTAAACAAAAATACACAAATGTACATAGTTTGCCAAATTTAAAAGAAAACATTAGAGGGGAAAAATGAAGCTGCCTCTCAAAATTACTGCATAACTTAGAAGGAATTTTGTTTTGTAACTCATTGTGAATATACTTGTACAGCTAGATTAAATCTTTTTATTGAAATTATTCAGGCTTGGAACAAAACAGAATTCCAGAAATACCCAGAATTACTTCTTTTCTAAAGCAAACAAAATGAGGAAGCTGAGAACTGTATTGTTAGTAGAAAAAGCATGGAAACCGTAACATTACAAAAAGACCCATTTTTAAAAAACAAAAAGCATATATTTACTTGCGAGTTATTTTGAGGCTGTAGTATACTCAAGAATGAAAGGTGGACTGGTTGAATTAGGGCCTTCGTTGAATGAATTTAGAAGTAAGGTTAAATATGTCACATTCTCAAGAAACATCAAAATTGGGATAAATCAAATTTCCACATACTTATAAAAATTACAAAACTGGTAAGGGTATGAATAATTTAATTTAGTTATTATGTGTAATTTTGAAGCGTCGGGGGAGGGTTTGCAAGTCACACCCCTTCAAACACAAAAGATTTTTTTCCTGAACGAACTCTATGATAATAACGGGTAAACAAAATACTTGGCTGTAGAACTCTGATTTGAAAAGAGGCTGTTTGTATAACCTTCTGACACCCACATGTTTTTCTTTACCCCAAAAAAGGGGGGAATTTAATATTTTGCCCTTTTTGTAGATTTTGGGAGATATGTCCATTTCTGGTATACTTGGAATGTGGAGGTGGACTACATGCTTGTGTGGCAGTTTGGTCCACACTCTTCAGTTCTTTTTCATCAGATTAAACATTTAAAATAAAAGGGCATTTGAAGATCGGTCTTACAGCTCTCTGCTACGACATTGATCCAAAGTGACGTATAAAGAATAAGATAGCTTACATATTATCTCGCTAGATCTCAAGTTTTTAAAGCGCCACAAATTTAGGTAAAATAGTAGAAGCATATCGTCGTTGTTACATAACAAAAAGTGCAATGTATTTTTCAACATATTCCTATGAATAAATCTATACTTCTCAGGGTATGAAGACCCAGCAACTTTCTCCTGCTTCCGCCCCGGCCCATACAAAATTACTGGCAGCATATCCACCCAAGTTGTGGCATGCATTTTATAAAAAGCCTTGAGGTCCCCATGTATTGTACATGGTGTGAGAATGCTGTGTGAAACTGAACGTGTTGGCAGAACCAACTCGTGATAGGAAAGCAAGTGGCTCGAAATAGAAAGGGTTATTGGTATGCGCCACGCATAGTCCATTTCTCATGCTAGAGAACTATAGACTAATGGAGAGACGTGTTTGCCCTCATTCATAGAGGCAGTATGAAATATAATACGTGTTATTGTAGTAGGTGCAATATATAGCCAGCCACCCATTTCATATTGTGAAGGAGTGGAGCGGAATGGTTGAGGAATGTATTTCTTTGAACTCTCACAATTACACTACATAGGAATTTACTTTTGGACATTTTATAAAAAATGAGATCTATTGTATTTTAATTTTGTTTATCCAAATAAAGATATACCATATACCTCACCAAAAGATTCTGATATGATAGGATTATGGATTCTTAATTTGACTGGAAATGCAGAATATGTTTAGACAGACATCTGATTTATTTATTGCTATTGGTACAGTATTATCATTATCCCATCTCTTTACAACCTGAAGGGTGTTATCTATTTATTAATATATCCATTTGGCTCTAGACAGATGATATAATCCTATGAAGATCAGACAAGAAATTCAGTTTCTTATTGATTAGTAATCTTTAGCTTACAGTGTTTGTGAAATATGGAAATAAAAAACAAGTTTTTATAGTCATAATTGACTCGCACTCCTCTCATCTTCATGCAAGCTAGCACATACGAGTGTCTCACCCATTCATCTCTGCATACAGTTTAAAGATACATATTTTGATGGCTAATACGATAATCTTATGAATATAATATTAGCTTTTAACTCCCGAGAGAGAGCGAAGGGGATAGCTTAAGATGGAAAGATTGGAGTGGAAATGAGACTCATAAATCCAGTCTTAAGTGACAAGCAATCAGCCGTGCGTGCCTAGCTTGCCACTAGTTTGAGCAGGCCAGCTGAGACTTTACTTCTATCGTTTGGCCAAGAACAGGCAAGCGTGGCCGGTGCATGCATGGAGGCGAGTCTTGTACATCGTGGGTTTATAACGTAAAAGACGGTGTAGTCTCCTCAAGAAGACTTGAGCATGTATCTTGTTCTCGTTCACAGGGAAATTGTCTTCTAGCGGAATGTATGAATGTCCACACATTCATGTTGATAGTTGGTCCAAATTTACCTATTTTGAGAGGAGGGGGCGGGGTATGTCATGCTCCACCCCTATTAAACTTATCAAAGTATGTAGGCTACAAAGGCTTATAATACACATAAAAAATAGCTATAATTTAGGCCTACATCCTGTCTGTTTTGTGAATTACAGAATGCAATTTCCATATTAAAGATTTGTCAAAAAGGAAAGAAAAAGGGAGTATGCACAAATACCATTAATCTTGTTCATGAGCAGATTTCGGTCCACCAAAATGTATATTGCCATTTTGGGGCACAAATTTAATGTACAGTATTATAAAGTATCCCCTTTATTGGTGATAAACATCATTTGTTTTGCATATGAACTTTTCGTTTAAAGATTCAACCTTTTCAGTAGTCATGGATTCTTCCATTCAATTTTGTCACCCAAGATATTTAGGGTGTGTACTATAAGTAAAGGGTCTGTTTGCTTTAGGCTAGATCATAGCCCTGTTATTTGATGGAGTTTTGTACTCCCATACCATGTGTATTATGATGAAGCGAATAGTAGGTGTGTGTATGCATGTGAAACGATGCATGCACCAAACCACGCAGGCACGATGGCTCTCCATAGAGCACTGCACATAGAGAACGTGGCTGTCTGTCGAGAGAGAGAAATAGAGGCAAGCATGCATTGCATTGCTCGACGCCACACTACCGCCACAACCTCATGCAGTAGATCTTGGAGTCGCAGAACGAACATCCCTGCATGTACGTCCAGGCATCAGGCATGCTTCAGTTGTAATCGCTGCTCTCTCTCTAGCTCTACGGGCAAATGGCGAGGTATGCTGCTCTTTTCTCTTGATAGCTGAAAGCCTCGGACTCAAGTCTCTGATTTGAGCTTATACATGCATTCCAGCGACCACATACGTTTGTATGCAAGCCAGTTCACCCTTCCTCTCTTCGACATCGACAGCTATCGATGACCATGGTTGTAACGTAAGTCTCATATTTCCCCCATTTCTTTTGAGCTTTGGCAATTACCGTTTTACCCTGGGAAAATACTGTTCCGAACGTACATGTATGAAGTTAGTGGTAAAGTCGTACCTTGTTGATGACTGATGAGCTATGTCAGCATTCTCTGCGAAAGGCTCTAAAAACATGTCACAAAGGTCACACAGACTCACTGCAGAAACACATGGTCACTTTGGGGTGATGTTTGATGTTGAACTGCATTTGGAAAGAATGGTATTGTACCAAACATGTTTTCCAAATTCAGTAGATTTGCTCAAAATCACATTGTCTGGAATATGAATCAAATCTCTCTTTGTATTGCTTTACATTTCATATTCATACTTATGTGATATTGATACAATTTATTTGCTACAATGCAGCCTCCATGAATGCTTTCTTGATGCTCTTTAATATTTCTTGAATTCTCAAAGCTGACTTTTTTTAGAAAGATGATTTTGATTTCTTCTCTGTGGCTTTATTTCTAGAAAAAAAATTATTTAGAAGGAAGAAAAGAGGCATTAAACTAAAGGTATGGTGAACTTTGTCAAAAATCAAAATTGAAAGTTCAGAACCTGCCTGAGAGAAAATGCTTTATGCGTTTAAAAAAACCCACCTAAACCAGATATACGAACGAAGCGCTGCGATAGAAATCGGTCAGACAGTATAGTCCCTCTAAGGCTCCGGGGCGTTTCTTGCTTGCAAAAGCCGTCATTTTGGACCAATGATATTTTGTCACCTGCATGTTGAATGTGGTTATGAGGCAGAATTTAATTCCCCCCCCCCCTCCCCTAGCTGCCCCAGCAGATTTAATGAAATGAGAAGAGAGAGTGAGAGAAAGAGAGAGACGAT